CGCCGCCTCAGGAACCTACCACCTCAATTAACCCTCAATGGCCAGCAGATCGCGTACGAGAAGGCCGTGACCTACCTTGGGTGCCGGATCGACCGGGCGCTGCGCATGACTGCGCACGTCGACCTCGTCGTCCGTAGAGCACGATGTGCGCGGGCGATGCTACGTCCGGTCCTGGCATCAAAGTTACCACTTAACACCAAAGTGCGTGTATATAAAACCTACATCAGAGCCATTATCACCTATGCTGCTCCGGCCTGGTACGCGCTTCTGAGTGAGCCTCTGAGGCGGCGACTGCAGGCCCAGCAAAATATGGCGTTAAGAACCATCGTCGGTGCGGGTCGCTACGTCCGGAATGACGTCATAGCGGCCAACCTGAAGATTGACACCATACAGGAATTTGTGGCCCGGTTGGCGCGCGGACTGTTCGACCGTGCAGACAACGGGCCGCATATACATCTTAACAACTTTGCGCCGCTACACACTCGCCCTCCGGACGGGCGACCCTATCCAAGAGAACTCCTCTCTATATCGATTAGAGAGTCGAGTAACAACCCTCAATGCCGCTGAAAGGCCAACTCCGACCTCATTAGATAACCTCCTTTTTTCGTAGTCATAACCGACTACGAAAAAACTACCGATAGCGACAATTCGTTTTGATACTTACAACGCCATTAGAAGGCTCCCAGGACCGGTCCATAGTAGTGGACCGCGAGGACAGCACGGGTAATGGGGGCTTACCCCGAGGCCCGAAACCTCCATGTGTGTCTACACGCATGAAGAAGACATCAACGTTGCAATTCGTTCAGGAATCCTTCGGGAAAGTTCGGGGAAGTTCGGAGAAACTTCGGCAAAAGTGCAAGACCAGCAGTCAATAAGAAGAAGAAAGAAAAAGTGTAAGGAAGTGATAGGGAAAAGTAATTACTCTCTCACGGAACGGTTTGAAGATAATTGCTGTTTTGTTCCCAAGGAATTCCTTCCTCAAAATAATACAGTCCACATCGAAGAATTAAGGCGTTGGGACCGGGACGACTTCGGAAGACCCGTAATCCCCGCCTGAACCTATTTTCTGAAAAGGAAGAGGTTATCGCCCTTGTGTGTTACTCCGTTGCGGAGATCACATACGTTGTTCCCGAACCCAACGTAGGCGCTATAGGAGGCCGAATCGAGAGAAGCCTCGATTCCTCCCTTCTGTTTCTTAGTTAACGTTTGTCTGGTTCCTTTTCAGTCATAGACCGTTGACTTTCAGATAGGTCCGTTATAATTATATGTAGATAATATAGATAACACAGACGAATGGTTTATTTTATGAGGGTCAAAATTATTGACAACTTAGGGTGTAGGTACATATACATAGAAAAAAATACTAATTTTTTTCTCCCACATTACTAACTAGTACATTGCTTTCATATTACAGTAAACCCTCCTTAATGCGAACACGGTTAACACGAATTTTGGTTTAAGGCGAACAAAAATTTGCTCTAGACAATAGTTCCATAAGCTTCAATGTAAATATGTTCGGTTAAGAGGAACCAACGTTAATCCGAATTTCGAACAACTTTTTCGTCCCTTCACGGTTAATTATCGGATAATACGAACTATAAAAATCCCCAAATCATGTATTTTGTATATTTTTTGTCCTTTTTCGGTCTATACAAATACCGTTAAACAATGGCTGAAGAGATTAGAAAAGTCATTAACTCGAGTTTATAAAAATAGACATAGGATTAGGATATCAAACATTCACCACTTGAGTACCTAAAAATAGAAACAATACTTCAAATTTTCTTTCCGTCTTACAAAAGCTATTGAAAAGGTTGTAAACTTTTGAAAATTAATTAACAAAAGCAATGGCTTCTTAACAATTTGGCTTTGTTAAGAAGTGTACATATAAACTGATGTCTGATGAACATAATAATAATGTTAAATTATAGATGATATGTAATAATAATGTTAAGTTAAAAAATTTCTAACAAAAAATTATTGTAAATATAAAATAATAATTTCAAAGTTATTAATAAAAATGTTTCTATGATGAATCATAATATTGAGTTTAGAAACACGAATTCATTTTTTGCATTGTTCGGATTACACGAACTATTTGTCTGATTTTTTCGTGTTCGTGTTAACGAGGGTTTACTATATTATATAATTCAAATAATTCTTATGCAATAGATAATGCCGTGCGGTAGCGGAAAAAGAATGGAGGGGGAATGGCATCGGTGGTGTCGTAAGAGGCGCCATTACTCCAATAAGACCTAATAATTCTGATAAATGAAGATTTATTCATTTTGTGTATTTCGGATTTGAAATACTGAGCGTGGAACTTTTTCCGAAATAGTTTTTTCACACAAAGTAAAATAAAAAAAATGTCTGTAGGTTTTGTGGATTCTATTATCGTAACGCACTTTGAGTACAGTTCACGGCTCACCATTAGAAGGCCGTCGCCTTACGTTACGAAATCTGTGGTACGAGTAAGTAGGCGACAATCTTGAAGCGTCTGTGAGAAAACCTGTTCTACTATCTTATCTAAGCATAAATAAAACCTAAAAAGAAGAAATAATATAAATGTGTTATCGTCGCAAAATACATTTTTAGATTTTACTTAAACTACCATTAATCTGTTAACAAAGACCTAATAATTTTTATTAGGTCTTTGTCCATTAATCTGTTAATGAAAAACCTAATATTCACAAAGCGTTTCGTTCTTCCATATGCGGGTTATTTACAAAATTTGTTGACACAAAAATTATAGACTTTTTGTAGTATGTAGGTACATTGCGTCGTATTTTTTATAACATTTCTGCTCTTATAAAAAAAAACGTACTTAGCAATATATTCAAAGTGACTATCATTCATTTTGATGACTACGTAGTTATCAAATACGTACGTATCCTGCTGATTCATTATATTTTAATATTCTAAATGCATGCAAAACCATCTTTTTTTTTTAAAATCATTCGTTTGGAACGTTAAGACTTACATTAAATAATTTACTTAAAATAACTACAATTCGTTCGTATCTTGAAAAAATGAATCCAAGTTTTGTTCAATATGGAATAAATCGTTTTTGAAATATTGAAACTGGTCATTAAGAGGATAGAGTAAGTCAGCTCAAATTCTAATTTCGCCCCCACTTCCCCGCGCGTCGTATGCTATATACCGACAAGTTTGTAATCACTAATACTGTAAGTAGATAGGTCGTTACATACTTATTTTATTAGGTTTATTATATTTATGCCTGTTTCTTAACGCCAAGCCAGCCGCTTCTTATTTTTATCACGGTTATTTCCCATTTTAAATTTACGTCGTACTGTTGCGTAATGTATATTCTGATCGTAAGCGACACAACTTCTCCCTTCAAAAGCCTAAGCGATACTAACGGGGAGACTGGAATCAAGCTCAAGACGCCGATAGTTTAGGTAATTTCTTTTTACAGTGAAAATAATGGTATTTTAAAAAAAGTAAATAACATAAGCACTGCTTTATAGTTAGTTCAGTTAGTATGCAAAGTTTCATGATCTTATTTAAAGTATTTTATGAATAACAGCGGTTTATTGTTTATTTTGGAGGTAACTTTGGATTTTTTTTCTATCGAGAAAATTTTACGAAATCGTGTTTTTTGTCTAACATAATCAATAACATTAATCCTCAACTTTACCATATATTTATTTCAAAATTAATGCTGCAATATTTTCGTTATAACGAAGGATCTTGCTAAGCCATTTGACATTATATTTCCCCTTAAGCATATTTAAATGTTACTCGCTGGTAGCAAAAATTAATTCGCCGAAGCATAATACGATATTTTAATAAAATAAAATTATTACAGCATAGCATAAGGTACACAGCATCTCATTAATTAAGTTTTATTTTCGAAAATATTAACATGTCTGTTATTTTAACTTAAATTATAGATAATTTGCTTTAAAACACGATAATCACGCTGTTTATTCAATGTTTACCATACCATGATGCCTATATCACGCTCTTAAATAAGATACCTATACCTATATGTATTTAAAAGTCAAAAGCACAGCCAATGCTACATCAACATAGCATCATCATCATCATCATCATCATTACAACCAATTACAAGTCCACTGCGGAAAATGAGACTCAAATAGACTCCTTGCATGGTGCAAGTCTTCATGTAATTTAGAACAATCATTACTAAAACAAAATATTCAAATTAACTTTGTGGAAGTCTTTAGCAACATTATCTGTAGAATTTCATCAATAATCATTACGTAATAGCAATTTTAATTACTGCGACTATGGACAGAAGGCACTAAAATGTTTATTTCTTTGAAAAAACTGTTAAAATGAAAACATAATTCATATAACAGTTATTGATTGAGCATCTAATTATGTACAATGCGTCATGTTATATTTTTAAGAATTTCAACGTTAACATAATATTTATCAAAGCGTGATATTTTGCTTTTGAAACTAAAATAATATAATTCGTATTCAATTTCGTAGGTAAATATTCTTTTATTACCCTCGTGAGTTTGAATTATTCATCAATGGGCGAATATTTATAAAACAACACGGTCACAAATATTACATTAAAGCATTAAAATTATAGAGCAGAGGTACATCAAACTCGTTTCTTATCACACATAATATGGAAAGCGTGTGGGATTACAACTTTTAACAGGTTCGTTAAACCAGAGCTAGCTTCTATCAAAATTTATTTAATAAAAATTTGCCATAGTTATCATACTTGAGAGACGATTTGACAACCGCATTCTTTTAGTTATTTAAGGTGTTATTAGGAAAGGCTACTTTTTTATAAAATATTTCTTGCAGCAGATGCATATAGGAAATTTTTAATAAAATTTCCGTGGGTTTTAATAATATCAGAACACTGTAAAATAAAAACTTATATTTAGTGGTATCAACACTTTATGTAGGTACATAGCTAGTATAACAAACATTCGCTTGGAAGAACGATAATTTGATATAAATGTGTATTTTAACATGGGAGTATCACATACCAGTCTTGACGAGGGCACGAGGTAGCGCCAGGACTCCACTGCCCGCCATCTCACCAGCAACCAGCAGTGCAACCTGATTCACCGAGAGGCCAGTGCCTTTTTCCGACCCATTGCCACCGTCCGCTTCCTAAAATTTTAATTGTCAGTTTACTTAGTTAAACGTTTACTGTCACGGGATTTATAATTTTTATTATTCTGCAACTACGAGATATATGTAGTGTATATATCTGTAGTTACGGATGACAGGGCATTTTTGTTATTTCCGTGTGTTAATTGCTTATTTATATTAAAAAAAAAAAGACATGAGGACCTAAACAAGCGCTGTACAGTGTTTTTATAACTACTGAATTTACTATAACTTTATTTTATTCAATTATAGCCTGCCAGTAATTATTTTTTCAAATCTTTTTCTTTTTACAAATATATATCGTATTTTAGACACGATTTTGAAGCTCAAGAAAAAATATGCGCATATATAAACTCAAATGAATTCTTAATCGAATGGAATATTACAATAATTTATATTGATCGAGATAAAAAAGTAATTTAATCGCTGGGAAAACTTTGACGTTTGAGTACTCGTTTAAACGATTTTATATATTTCAATAATATGTAAGGCATGCTATTTAGTTAGATTGCTCATCGGCCACACTTTTCTTTTTATTAGATATATATATATATATATATAAGCAAAAACGTTTATTTTTAGTCCATAAGGCGAGGAATCCCTTTCTTCTCGTAAAATGTTATTTAAAAATTAAGATCGTAATATTTATTTCAATAACATTGGTATCTTAAAGTTACAATAAACTTAAGTAATTGGTATTACTGAATCAACTATTTATTTGATTGGCATTTTCGATACATATACATACCTACATATAAAATTACATTTAGATAGACATGGAAATCTGACGGAGCGGTAAGATTGTGGAATATCATTCCGGAAATCGTATTGTGTTACATGATATGCCTGTATTATTTTACAAAGTATAAAAATTCGATAAGAAAAGTTAAAAAAGATGCGCTTTTAAAGTAATCTTTATATATAAAATCAATTGCTGTCCTTTAGTTCTCGCAAAAACTCGAAAATGGTTCGATTGTTTTTGATGAACTTTTTTTTGCGTATTTGAGTGGGTCCCTGGATGGTTTAAAAACTCAATTGGATCTGGTAAGCGGTGCTGTTGCCGAGATCCAGAAATCATCCGTGCATATCCAGGGCGGATCGCTAGTCGTTAATATACCTAAACAGTTTCAATCCGCAGCACAAAACAAAAAAAGGATGTGATAGAAATCTAATCGGAAGACACTGTCGACTTTCCTGTTATATTAGTTTATCCATGTAGTCAATAAACAATATTAAAATATCCACAATCAATAGAGTTTTCATGATACTCTAAGTATACAAGTGGTAAATAATAATTATAGTACGTGAAGGTAATATGGTCATCCGGTTAATATGGTCACTTTCCTATAACTCAAAAATTACATCCTTGTTTGCATAGAAGGCTAGGTATATGATTCAATAGCTCTATTCATCAGTCAATCAAATATTAAAGGGTTAAAAGGACGCTGCTTTATCGAACCCATTTTAACAGTTGATATTATAGTAAATATTTTAACCGATTTTAGTAATTCGTAATGTAGTTAGTTTTTATTAAGTTGCTTTTTCGAAGTGTTTCTAATTATTGCCAAAGTTTGTTTGCTATTTTTTTACTGATATATTGTATACGACTTTGTGTTTTTGTATATCTATCTTCCTAGGAGGAAGATAGATATACACAGTTTTGGTTTTATAGAAAGGCAAAGCTTAAGCTGAGCATATTACCCTCGTGTACCTTAAAATAGAACATCATCAATGGCTGCGTTTGGCAGAAAAAAGCGATAGCAAGCGCTTGTAAGCAAAATGGCGATCGTAAGAGGTAAGCGCTGTCATCGTAAGTAGCTATTTTCCTCTAGGACACTAAGTTAGTTTTAACCGGGGAACCTAACCTGATTTAAATAATATGTTTGTAAAGTATTCATATTAAAAATTTACCAATCACGAATTTTTAATTACATGTATATGTTTATTCACGTCATTATTATATTACTTAAAACTAATATTGCACAAAAGAACTTATAAACTCTACTTCAAAACAAACAAATTAAATAAGCAAAATGGCAGATTGTGTCAGCGCTACTGAAGTAGCAATCGTGTCCTGGCCGAAAACTATTTCAGCGCTTGTAAGCGCTTGCTAGCGCTTTTTTCTGCCAAAGGCACCCAATGCATTCGAAGTCAATTAAATACGCATTATTGAAGATAACACAAAAACTTACTGGTCATTTCTTAAACAAATTTACCACACGAGAAGCACCAGCTGTCATATAAAATAAATAAATAAAGAATCATCAAAATCGGTTCAACCAGAGAAAAGTTCTGAGGTAACACAAATAAAAAAATAAACATACAGTCGAATTGGATACCTCCTCCTTTTTGAAGTCGGTAAAAAATTCTGGGCGGTAAAACTTCTTTTCTACCTAGGAGTACATTTGGGTAAAGCGTTCAGGAAAACGTAAAAATGCAGTAAAATGTTCAGAAGTTACACGATCACTAACAGACGCATCAACAGTTACTTTTTTCTCTCGTTAGAAAAACATTATGACATTCTGAATGATTTTTTTACCGTTTGGAAAAAATTGGGTGTAACAGGTGAACGAAATAGAAGCTTATGCATCATGGGTACAGAACAGGATTATAGCGCCCAAGCGTATGCGCAAGCGCAGGTGCACAAGTGAACCGACACGACCAGAAGGAGAAAGAGATCGGGCGCAGGACCAACGGCTGACTGTCTGACTCTGGGCAGCTACTGAGAATTTCTTGACGGTAAAACTCAATGATTAATTGTTTTGGCCCGACCCGGGATTCGAACCCGGAACCCCATGATCGCCAGTTGCACTACTACAACCACTAGACCAACGAGACAGTCATTGACTACAATAGCCACTTATTCAGGTTGTACATCACTTCAAACTAGTTCATTGGGGGCCCATATTCAGCAGCAGACTTGAGAAGGGCGTTATTGAAATATAATGGAAATAGATGTTATAATAAACAAATAATAAATATAATATCTATTATCTAACACAAAATTGATTGGCGTTGTGAGTAAATATTTCAAGTAACGCTTGCAACGTACTGGAAACGTTTTAGCGTTTAATAGTGGTTTATCATGTTAATATAAAGAAATTACGTGTCACGTTGTTTATCCGCGATGGACTCCTAAACTACTCAACCGATTTTAATCAAATTTGCACACCGTGTGCAGTTTAGTCCAACTTGAGAGATAGGATAGTTTTTTGCCCATGAGTGACCCACAATTTTGCGAATTTTAGGATTTTTAATTGGACATGACAAATGGTCGTCGAAACGGGCAGAACAACGTCTGCCTGTCAAGCTAGTAATATTATAAGTATTTTGTGATGTAGGTACGTAAACGCTGCATAAATATTTGACACGCTAACAGGAGGTTAACTAATAAGATAAGAAACAGGCTCACTATTATACAAGATGAACGTCAGATAGAACGTGAGAGAACTCGGTAATTATATATAAAAATATTGAGAAATAAGCCACCATATGAGACATATTTTTTTTGTAAATAAATAGCCTGAACAAGATGGATGTATACGGCACAGGGAAGAGCTTTGTTGCATTCCTTTGAGGTAGGCCTATGTTAACCGTGGACTTGTGATGAGCTGTACCGATGATGATAATTATAACTTATTCCGTGCTGGATTCGAACTTGCGGCCTGAAGCGCTGTAACTCAAAACTCGGCCACCGACTCACCGAGTCACCGAGCTAGCAGTTGTTAAATGGATTTTGATGCGATTTTTTTTTTGCCTTCCTAAAAATTATTGAGGAATGTGTTCGTAATATAACATAACTACATTGACTTCTTACAAATTTTATGTAAACTATGATGATGCCAAAGTCAATCATGTGAGTTGGGAAAATAGTTATTACAGATAAGGTTCAACTCGAGTTTTACATGCCGTATTTCAAAACATTGCTAACAAGCCTTGTGATAGACACGCTAGAAAACTAAATAGGTTAAACATAAGCACACGCACGAGGTTTCATGATTATTTTAACATTGGCACATATTGATGTCACTACTGTGCTCAGGATTAGAAATTAGAATATTCCTATTCAATATTGTACTGTGCTATGCCTAAGGTCACAGCTGTTTAGAAGTGCTCCCTTTTCTCCCACAACTTATTAGGGTCTATGACTGTATTATGTAAGTACTAGTTAGGTTCACGTTCACGTAAGTAAAACATATATTTATATTGGGTGCGTTTGGCAGAAAAAAGCGCTAGCAAGCGCTTATAAGCGCTGAAATAGTTTTCGGCCAGGACACGATTGCTACTTCAGTAACGCTGACACAATCCGCCATTTTGCTTATTTAATTTGTTTGTTTTGAAGTAGAGTTTATAAGTTGTTTTGTGCAATATTAGTTTTAAGTAATATAATGACATGAATAAACATATACATGTTAATAAAAATTCATGATTGGTAAGTTTTTAATATGAATACTTTACAAATATATATTTAAATTAGGTTAGGTTCCCCGGTTAAAACTAGCATCGTGTCCTAGAGGAAAATAGCTACTTACGATTTGACAGCGCTTACCGCTTACGATCGCCATTTTGCTTACAAGCGCTTGCTAGCGCTTTTTTCTGCCAAACGCACCCATTGACACCTAGCAGACTTTGTTCTTACCGGTTATTGGCGCGATAAGTTTCGCTGTAAATTCGCTGTGAACTTTGAGTACCTATAAATATTAAATTTATTAACTCGACCATAACGCTACGAATCGTAATTAAATTTTGTGATTTTCTTTTCTGGAAAATAATCAAAATAAAAATCGTGGATAAGAGTAATTTTCGTCCTTAATATTGAATTAATTAATAAATTAATACGGTGGCACCTGTCCGATACTGTTGACGAGTATGTTTGAGACTATAATTGGAATAAAATGTCCGATCAAATGTACGCCCAAATTCGGCCAAGGTAAAATACATAGGTACTTTAGTTCAATGAAATTAGGAAGTTGTATGCTCCATCCTATCACACATGCACATTACAAAAATACAACTGACCCTTCCAAAAACGGCATTAAATAACAATTTTGAAGTAGTTATTAATTCTACCAGAATAAAAGAAAATATATAAAAATTTATTATCAAACAGTAATCTGAATAAACAGTTAAAAAAACTTGTGTTAGGTATGTAATTTCATTAAAATCATACAAAGTTTTTAAGACGGCTTTAAGTTCCAAAAAAAAGAAAAACAAAAATAAGGTTTAAATTGTTATTTTTCAACTCTCATGCATTTTAAATAGGTAATTTAATACTTACTCCTTTAGGCACCAACGGCGTGGTCTCCGTGGCTTGAGAGCTACCGCTCATTGTTGGCTCCAGGCTGCTCTTCTTCGACATCTTAAACTAATCTAAATAAAAAGAAAATTCATAAGAAAATAATTCAAAAATAATTTAAAATAAATTTTATTTAATATCTCTGAGAACTAACTTTCGAAATTGCTGTTATTAATATAACTATCTAAATAAAGAATTATAAGTGCCTCTTTACAAAACAAATCTATAACTGAACCAATCTGTGATTTTTATGTTAACCGAAACAAAAAATAATGGCCGGCAGAATCGTAAACAGGTTCCGAAGCTAACGATTATCGGCCCTAAAACGTTCGATTATAGAACCAGATGAGGCGAAACTTCCTGTAGTATCAATAAGCTAAATTGCTTATACGGCTTCAACTTACGATGGGCTCTTTATAGGTCGTAACACACACCCGTCCACCGCGGGACTCGTCACAAAACTGGTCAGTGGTCATTCTTGCTAATGTAAATGTAATTCTAGCCGACTTCCCTCCTACTTGTTCACGTATCTTAAAAAAAAAGACGTGTGGCACTCGGGGACTGCCGCGGTAAAGCTAATGCATAGCATTTTGTATCAACTTATGCAATTATAATTATTTTTTATTTATGCAGTATTTCTTTTTCTTTGATATTAATTCAAGTTACACTTTTTGAGCGTGGTGACCGATAAGAAAACAAATTTAAGAGGGCTACTTTTAATATCGCTCATTTTAATATCAAAAATTTAGGTTATCTTTATAGCAGTATTATATTTTGAATTCAAAATTAATACTGCATTTGTGATAATAACAAATTATTATTATTATTATTATTTTTTCGTGACTTTCTTCATTCATAATAAATGCACTTTGTTCATTCATATTCAAAACGCTTTATACACAAATTTTACAAGTACAGCTATTCACTGTTGTACATAAATACCTATACACCTATATACTTTCTCATATACAGCTGCTTATGTATTCGTCCGATTTCGGAGCAGCTCGTGCGAGCTTCGTAGAGTCGTACAATACGTCTAGTTGCACGCACACACACACCGTGTCGAAGACTGCCTTTTTTTTTTGCGCCCGAAGCAATTAAAGGGCTACCCTATACGTAGGGAGGCGGAAAATGCATTACGCATACCACGATAGCCGGTCTATCGTGGTTATGAGGGGCTCACTGTCCTACCGGGGACCCTAAGTGATACCCTCTAAAAACCGCCTTTGGGGACAGGCAACCGGCTGATTAAGCTCTATTGTGCCTTATCATGAGCGACCCTCTTTTGGGAAAAGAGGGCGCAGGCGGCTATGAGCCGCTGAGGGAGTGCCTACGAAGGCAAATTAAAGTTGGTTAATACAATAATTTAGTTTAATTAGAGTTGGCCTGAGCCGCCAGGATACAGTTCACGTCGTTTGACAGTTTATTAGGCGGGTCCGAGAGAGAGTTTCTCGGCCTGCGGACACGATAGCGAGAGGGCGGTGGGGCTGCATAAGAAGCTGCCTCACGAATTAATTGATTTGGGTGCGACTCTGAGACTTTGAAGAAGTTCTCAGAGAGTTTTTTAAGGAATTGTTGAATTGTTGGGAGCTCTAAGTCCCGATGAAGGTCGGCATTACGGACGTACCAAGGTGCGTTCGCAGCTCGACGGCAGAAGAGGTTCTGAACTATTTGGAGTTCATTTATAATGTTAGGGTTTGCGTGGGCAAAGACGGGGCCCGCGTAGGAATGCGAAGACTGCCACAGAGTACTTTTTTGTTTATAGGAAAAGACTGCCGAAAAGAAACGACGTTAGACAATGCACGGCCTTCAAGCCACACCACCGTGCCCGTCGGAGTGGGGAGCGTGAGGTTTTTTTTCGTTAGGGAATTTCTGGATTCGGTCCCCGCGCTCAAGGCCCGCGATAGAAGCTATGCAATAGCTTAAAAAGTATAATATTTTTATACTTAATAAAGTTCCTTAGTTTATAAAACTGATATGATAGTACGGGCGATAGAAGGTAGCATAGTAGTTTCCCAGATGAATCTTACGTTTGCGCATTAAGGGTGCGCAAATAGTTAGGATGTGCAGAGGCGTTTCTTCCGTTATGGGACACTACCGACACATCCTTGAGTTGCTTAGTCCCAGGATGGACATTTTCCCCCCGAACGGGTTCCCGCCTTGTCGTGGCGGGGGGCTTAGAAGCCGTGGCTTGGTCTCCCACGGTGAACAAAGAGGAACCCACGTGGCTGGCCCGAGGTGAAGGGCCGGCCTGAGGTGGCCGCTCCGAGTGGGCTTGGGGAGCCCACTTCGGATGTGTGCTGGTGGACTGCAGCGAGTGGGGACTCGCGCACCCTCTACCGCTGCAGCCGAGGTGGAGTCGCGGAGGAAGAGGAGTGTTGGTATGGCGATGCGCCACTCGCCCTATCCTTCGCGACTCAAACGGGGCCGCACCGTTGATGCGGTGGTGGTGGGGCTGCGTGGGGAGAGGATTGTCGGTATTGCGAGGCGCCGCTCTCCCTGCCCTCCGCAGCCGAATCTTGGTTGGCGGCGGAGCCATAGACCAGATCCGCCGCTGGGGTCGGGAAGGCTAGTACTTCTAAGTGCTCGTTTTTCCTGGCCCCATGGCCTTTGTGCATCGGACGCGGGGGCGTCTGTTGCACAGACGTAGTTGGAGGCCGTGGAGGAAGGCGCGCCATGTGTTCTGGTGCGCCTTACCTGGGAGGGAGAGCGGGGAGGAATTTTCCTCTCCCGAGGAGGTGCTGCCATGGGGCGGCAGGCGCTGGTGGGGCCGCGGATGTGTGCGAAAGCGTTCCCGTAGCCCTGCCAATTTGCGACAAAGGTGGAACACCATGGGGTTTTAGTCGGTGCGAGTCCGACATAACCTGTCCTTGCCCCCGCGAGGCGGGTATGCGTAGGCATTTCCCCATGCAAAAAAAAAAAGGATGGACATTTGCTTTTTAAGACAATAGTGTCCAGTTAGGGTTCTTGCCAGAATGAACAATTTATTTTTACTTAATCTCAGGACTTCTCAAGCGAGTTAACGATCAAAAGCCCGGATTAAGATTTTAGAATGTTTTAAGCCTAGTGTGTCAGACCAGGTCTTAAATGATTTATTGTGATAAAGAGTTTCAAGGGTCAATCGGGCTAGGCTTCTTGAGATTCTACAAAATGGTTCAGGTCCTAATTGTGTACTCTTTGAGCCCTCCCGTGCGAGTTTGTCGGCTAATTCATTGCCTACAATACCCGCGTGACCCGGAACCCATCTTAAGACGACCCTGTTACTACATCACAGGGCGTTTAAACGGTTCACGCAGTCTCCAACTAGCTTCGAGTTCACTAAGTAAGTGACCTCAGCGCTAGCGGTGCTGCTTGACTATCAGAGTTTATATAAATTATATGGTTGAGGTATTGTTTTTGCAGATTCATTTCCGCACACAAATTTTGAAGTATGGCGAAAATTTCTACCTGGAAGATAGAGGTGAATCTACCTGAATTCATACTACGTTTGAATTTGGAGCGCTCCCCATAAATTCCATAGCCTACGTCGAGGCCCATTTTTGACCCATCGGTATACCATATGACGCTACCGACCTCACAGACAAACTGGCCATTCAGCCAGTTTTCTCCGGAGGGTAATTCCACTATATACTTTTTGTGAAAAGTGTATAGTAGACGCTTGATATCTGAGATCATGCCTAAGACCGGAGTTTCCTTAATCAAGTTGAGCATGGATTTCAATATGTAAGAGAGTATGTTCAAACCGCCCTGGGCGTGAATCCTATACAATCTGGCCTTCGCTTCCTTGTCTAGATAAAGATCAAGGGGCGTTAGGCATAGAAGTACATTAGGAGCTGCTCCAGGCGATGATCGCACAGCTCCAGTTGCCATTAAGCAGACAGTCCTTTGTAGACTGTTTAGTCTGTCCGCCGTCGTCTTTTGGTTGGTCTTTTTGCACCAGACAGTTGAGGCGTAGGTAAAATTGGCCTCACTATGCTGCTGTACAGCCATAGGACCATACTGGGACGCAAGCCCCAGTTGTTCCCGATAAAACGACTGCACGTACCTAAAGCAATTTTTGCCTTATGGCATACGTGCTAAGGTGAAAATTCCCCGTTACTTTTTGGTCGATTGTTACGACCAAGTACATAACTTCAGTGGAAAATGGTATTTGTTTACCATTGATTTTTGGTGTGACTAATTTGTCTGATCGCTGATCGCTGATCTCACCTCGGTCTGACGGCCTCCGCCGGTGTCGTCCAAGGGTAAGAGGAAGGTAGGAGTTTTAAGGTGGGGGTCAAGAGCGCCAGTAACGGACGTCTTCATCCTCAACAGACCGAGAAGACCCTGCCCCTACGCCCATAAAGGGCTAACCCCAAAGGTAAGACGAGGGTCCTCCAGGCAAATCTTCACCATGCAGCAGGTGCTTTTGCCGTGGTGGAGGTTTGCTGTGCAGAGGACAACATTGATCTTGCCCTCATACAAGAGCCTTGGGTGGGCAACCGTCGAGTTTAGGGATTGTCAGCTGCCGGTAAGATTCTAGTCAATACTAAAGCCAGTAGTTACAATAAAAATATTGAAATTTAGCTGCTCTAAAGCACTGCAACGATGACCTTCGTAAATCTTAAGGGAGACACAGGGGCTAGAGCTTATTTGCTCAACCTATCTTCCTGAAGAGAACTCAGATCCTACCATCGAGTTAGGCGTGTAACGGAGTTGGCCCGTAAACACAACGCCGAACTTGTGGTGGGATGTGATGCTAATGCTCACCCCACAGCCGGGAGAAGTACTAAGATCAACGAAAGAGGTGAATTACTTTATGATTTTCTCATCTTCAACCGCCTGGTAAGCCTAAGCTTAGGGTGTATGCCAACCTTTTTACCACATGCTAGGCAAGAAGTTTTAGACATAACCTTTGCTACCAATAACATGTGCAGGCGTATAAATGACTGGTATGTTAGTAATGGGAAATCGATGTCTGATCATAAATACATTAAATTTGTCATTGGAGCATTACC